ACTTATCCGGTTATGCTCAATGCAATACACGTGAAGGAACTTATCAAGGAAATCATGAATACAAGGTTAGAAACTTAATCTAGCTCATGGAACCATTGAATGGATTTTACTTAATTTATTTAATTAAAGTCTCTAGATTTTAAAAGTCATCCAAATGACCTCAAATTAAAGTATGTTATACAATATGTCAAGACTCGTTTTAAAACCATGATACAAGTAAGTTCTAAGCAAGATACTACCTTGAGTATTAAACTTTAATACTAGAAATATAATAATTGAAAAGTTCTAAAACCTAATCAAATATTCTAGATTTAATATATGTGAAGTTACATGGCATGTAAATCATGAATGTCAAGTCGGAATTCCAATGGGGTGAATAGTACACCCGGAATAAATTAATTAATCAAATAATTAATTATTCTCTAGATTTTAAAACATCACCGTTTACTCTCAAATTAATCTATGTTGAAGAGCATGCTAAGGCCTAATATAATATGTTATCACATGTTGATTTAAAGTTAGATAAGGTCACATGATTTAATATTTTATTCAAGATAAATATTAAATAAAATCTTCATTTCTTGTCCAAATAATCTAGATTTAATATATGTCAATCAACATATCAACGGGTAATATCCTATCATGCCACATGATTAAACAAAGCCATGGACAACCGGGAAAATTAAATTCTTTACAAGAAAAATAAATAATGAAATCTCTAGATTTTACATCCAAGTATGTAATCAAGTTGTATAAGCATCATAAGCATGTAATATAGCAAGAATTTAAATTATAACACCCCCTACCTCAATTTGAGATGAAAACCCCAAATCTCCACCGAAAAAAAAGTGTTCTGAATCCGCCAAAATCGAAGGGTTTTAATGGGGACAACACGATCTACATGAATCCGAAGGAAGCCCCATGAAAATCACAACTTGACTCTTAACCCAAACTCAAGTAAAGGCCGAAGGGGAACAAGGGGGAATGGTAGAGCACGTCGAGGGAAACAATAAATGTAAAGGCCGAAGGATTTCTACCAAGGAAATCAAGTAGAGGAGAAGGTCAAAGGGTGGCAGCCAAAGAGCTTCCATTGCTGCCAGCCAAGAGGTGGAGAAGAAGAGTGAAAATCTGATTTTTCACTTTAGGGCATCCTATTTATATTAAGTCTCAAAAAGTGCCCCGAAAGGGCCCCGCCGGGTCCAGAAAAGTGAAATTTGAGCAAAAGCTCTCAAATGGCAAAACTCTGTGAACAAAAAAGATTCAAAATGAGAAAATATGAATAATGGAAGAAACGGCGTCAAAAACTGAGTCCCGAGCAGAAAGTTATGCCTCGAACAAGTTTGGCGGCAACTAGTCCAAAAACTCTAAAACTGGAGAAAAATGACCAGAAGGAAATTCTATGAATTTACGAGTTAACAAAAAGTGAAAATGAATCCCGTATAAGGATCCAGGCTCCAGACGAGGTATTTTGCAATAACTTTCGTTAATTGCACAATGGCCCCTACAAAAAAGGTTAACTGCGAAACTGCCCCAGAATGAAAATATCTTCCAAAAGATATTTTCTTAGATACCCTTGAAATAAAATATCTGCAAAAGATATTTACGAAAAACACCCCAAGAAAAGAAAATAATTCCAAAGAATTGTGCATCCATGCCCCTATGGACACCGGGAGCAACCAAAGTACTTTCTTGCAAAAGTAAAGATACGCATTTCAAGGAAACCACTGAAGATGAAGACACGTGAAGTCAAAAACCAACTCCGAGCACGAAAAGTGAGGTTGTGCCAAAAACTGGCAAACGGAAAAAAGACAGAATAGGGAAAAGGACGAAATAGGGTAAAGGACAAAAGTGAATAGTGTCCCGAAAAGTAAAAATGCGGAAATGACTCGGTCCTCAAAGGAAGTTGTCAATCCACACGAAAGAGTACCAGAAGCCAATTCTGAGCACTCGAGATGACACTAAACGACGAAAAACAGATCTCAGAAAAGAGAATTAAACGAAAAAAATTCATCCGTAAAATTTTAGGAAAAAGGAAAGGGAGGAAAATGACCGGGTCATGACACGTAAACTTGTACTCACACTCTCGCGAGATTGCCCTTATGGGCTACACGTTTCTCTCCACTCATGCTCTCAACAATAACCCACGTATCTATTTTATAGACCCCAAACCCAAGTCATTGGCAGAGTTATCTAAACATTACACGATACAATACAACTCTAAAAATAGACACATAATCATAATAGAATTTGAGACATCATTATCCTAACAATCTCCAACTTGGCTCAAATTCCTTCACGTTAATCAACGCTTTCCATGACAAGCTAAATCTGACAACACACTGGTTGTCGTTCACGACTCCACCTTTGCTATGTACCTCATCACGATTATGTCTTGCTCTTTTCGGGGCTGAATGCGCGAATCCACTCTTTTTTTAGGTTGGGAGCAACCCTTAGCTGAGAGCAAAACCACTATCCTCTTTTTCGGGCTGGGAGAACAAACACACTCTTCTTTTAGGGTTCGTTTGGTTAGTATGAAGAAGATAGAAAGGAAAAGAAATAGAAAAATTTTAAATTTGTTAGGAGTTTGGTTAGCACGAAAGAGAAAAATTTTAGGAAGTAAATTTCTCACAACCGCTTAATTTTCCTCAAAATGTTTATCGCAAAAAACACAGGGAAATTTTACTTTCCCATAAAAGTGGTGCCTTCATATCTTAGTTTCTTATTATACCCATTCCATTTTCTCCACAAACTTCTTTAATAGGTAAGTTCCTTTCTATTATAAATTGCTTATATAATAATGTAAAACTATTTTAATTGTATATAGTTTTATATGTGCATACAAAATTAAAATTTTATTATATTTTTTTCTTTCCATAATTAATAATAATTTAGATTGATATATATATATATATATATATATATATAAATCTGTAGGAGCAGAGTGTTGGATGAAAAATTAGGACTAGTGTCTCTCGCATACAATTTATAATTTAATTCGTACAAGTACTTTTTTATACATAGACTTCTCTCAACTTTAGGACTCTAAGTAATTAGATATACCAAACTAATTTAATTTTAATTCTACATATATTAGATGTATCAAACTAATTTAGTTGAAGCATTGTATTTTGTTTAGGTTCAGTTTTTTTTTTTTTTCTATGACTAAAAGTATATATATTAACTTCAATCTTTTTTCCTAAATATTTTTCGGAAAATCTTTTTTTATTAATTAAACTTGTACCTATAATCACATATATAAAATTATTAAATATCATATTCATTGTTTCATTTTGAATTTAAAATTTTAATTTTGTTCATAATTCAAAAGATAGAGTAATGTCTTAAAATAGTACAAAGTAATCTTATAACTAAAAGGGTAGTTTTGGTAACTGCAATCACTTTCTTTTCACTTTCATGCTTTCCAAATTCACAAAATAATATTTACTCACAACTTTCTTGAAAAAAATTCTTTCTAACCAAATGCATGATGGAAACTTGATTTCCTTTTCCTTTCTTTCAATTTCTTTCACTTTCACTTTCACTTTTATCATAATTTTCCATCTAACCAAACGGACCCTTAGGAAACCTTGGCTGAGAGAAAAACCACAATCTCTTTTACGGGCTGAGAGATAACAAACCCTAACGATGATCGTGACTGATTGACACCACCTGCAACAACCTGTTGAGATTCCTTGTGTTTTCTTCACATAACGACTGCACATCCCAATCTAAACCGTCCTGTCTCTAATACCATTTGTTGGGCACAGTGGAAGCTAAATTAAATTAGAATCCAAATCACAACACAAGATTTTTACATGATTTACCCAAACTCAGGGCTACGTCCATGGATGAGGAGATTTCAATATAATCTATAGAGATCTTACAAACACGTAAACTCTCTCTACTCATTGTACTCACCCCCTCGCGAGATTGCCCTTACAGGCTACGCGTTTCACTCCACTCATACTCTCAACAATAACCTACGTATCTATTTTTTAAACCCCATACAATATGACTCTAAAAATAGACACGCAATCATAATAGAATTTGAAACATCATTATCCTAACAAATGCGTCTATAATCTAGAAGCACATTCACAATTAAAACAAATTAATACAAATGCGTCTATAATCTAGAAGCACATTCACAACTAAAACAAATTAATACAAATGCGTCTATAATCTAGAAGCACATTCACAACTAAAACAAATTAATACATGTGCACATAAATGTGTATATATTACACTCTGCATATTCATACAAACTCACTGTAGAAAATCTATCTAACCTACATATGAGCCAATATGAAATACACATATTCAGCTTTATATACACGAGTGTATGTATGATTATTGTGCATTTAGACTGCCAAAACTAGTAAATTACTTTCGAAGTTTCAACAAACACGAAAAATGAAAGTAATCCAGTTGAAATTTTTTCACTTAAATATATTTTTCAATGTATAATATTTTACACTGAATACGAGCGTAAAGTAAACGAAAAATACAGAAGCAAAATATTTGACTAAATCGTGTCTGCAAGCACGGACCATGAAGGCCCAGTGGGGGAGGCTAATTTTTTTTTTTTACAAAATTACTTATAGATTATGTAAAAATCTTTAAAATGTCCCTACTTTTTTGTGAGAATTTTAAATATACCCCCACTCAATTTCTAATGATACCCTACCATACATTATTATTGTTCAAAGCAGTCCCTCTCATACAATTACCTGGTCCGGCACTGCGTGTATGTATATGCATTTTTTAATACTTGAGCGTGCGTGAGTCCCTCAACCAACATAATGGATTTAAAAAGGAGACACAAAATAGGCATCAATCATGACAAGTTGATATTATGATTTTGAGCATCCAAAAGAAGTCCAGCAGCCTGATTAATTATTGGACATCATCAACTAATTTTGGTCCATCAATCCAACTTGAACTCAAGAACCATGCAGCCACATAATGCAAAAGTAACTGGATTGATTGGATCATTTGAATTTAGAGAAGAAAATGAACAACTTCTGGAGGTGATGAAAAGGTTTAATTTATTGCTACAGAGATATCAGAAGTTTTGACTGTAGATCACAAGAAGTTTGTATATACATTATAAAATTAAACATGTTGCAACCAGCTCGCATCAAATTGATTGGTAGCCTTCCTCTTGCTCGCTCTTTCTTCGAAAAGCAAAGACAGCAGCTACAGCTATTGCCGCTCCAAAAAATGCTATACCCCAAACAGAATGAGGTAATGTTATCTTTTCATGCTCCTGCGAGAACCAAGCAACATCAGAGTCTAGGTTAAGTTGCCTGAAAATTAGGTAAGCTTCCTGTTTGATAAGATACTCCTAAGTGCTAAATAAATTCAAAGAATTCCAATCCCTCAGATGAATTGATACATTTGTCCGATATTATTCAGATTGCATTTCTTACACTTGTCTGAAAAGTGTTTTTTTAACCCTAAATAATCAATGCATTTACAAGATTGTTCAAATATCTTTGGATCGTATAAAGTGAAACCAACTAAAATAATAATTATAAATGAAGGCCAAATGAAAATCTTACATCAACCGGAACAGGCAGGAAAGAATTGGACTGTGGTAATGAATCTGCAACCAAAATGTAGAAGAGCCCCATAACTCCTGTATGCCCTTTAGCACTGCTATAATTTGATACCACAACTAGAGTCTCCCCATCAGATATCTTGACAGAGCCGGGTTGAGGATAACAGGTGGACATTCCTACAATATAACCAGCCTCATTTCCTGCTTCCTTTCCTTCTCCATAAGTTGGTGTCGAATGGCATATTACCCGTCCATCCTAACTCAATATTAGTCAATGTTCAATAATTACATGAAGGTAAAGATATCAACATTCAACACTGAGACTACACTCTTAAATAGGGGTGAAAGGCTGGAAGACAATTAGTTACATGCTTTAGCAAAGAAATATACTCAAGGAACTTGTAATTTGTGGTACGAAAAAGGCGAACAAGTATTCACAAACAAATTAGCTTCATCTAAATCAAGGGTGCAAAGGAGCACCTTTCAAAGGAGAGAGAGACACAAGGGGATAGCCACTTTTTCATTCATACAACAATAATCTTTTGCAGTAAATTCTTGTGGATAAATGATTGCCATTTTTTCATGATTTTATCCAAGGTAATTAATTATGCATGTTGACAAAATACTCGTCAACTTAATAGCCATGTATGTTGTTGCCCACCATGTAAAGATAGAAAACGAAAAAGAAAAAAAATCTAACAGCATTTTCCATCTTCTATAATTTATATTGAGAAATTAATGAAATTGTCATATCCTCATGCAGGAATGAAAAATTACTCTTGCATCAAGCCTCAGAAGTTTCATAATCTTAGACAGATGATTAAATTTTAGGGTTTATCTTTATAAGGAAAAAAAATAAAAAATCTAATTAGATTTCATGATACATCTCATCAAAGAGGGCAGTTAAGGATTTTATCCAAGGTAATTAATTATATACCTGTAAAAGCGATATCTGACCAATCTAGCTGTTGAGAGTAAGAAAACACAGGACACAAACTGGAAATAAGAATTTAGAAAATCACCTCTCCATAAAGAGTTGAACCAATTCCCCCTGTATGCTGGTGTGCAACACTGTAGATGACATTACCACCAGTTGGCAAAGAGAGGCTTACCCTTTTGGCATCAATGCAACCATCATTAGCCTCATCAGTGGCAGTGCAAGCATCAACATCATATTCCACCTATATCAAGCAAGTTCAATCAAATCATTGTCCAAAAAGATAAATAAATTAATAATAAATAAATAAATAAAGACAAAGAAACGAACAAATTATATCGCTCTGGTAAATAACTAAATACAAGTTAACATTCATTTCCCCTCTTTGTTTTCTGAAATTAAAGTAAATGGAGTAATCTCCCAAACCATTCTCTTATAAATTAATTTAACATGTATCGTCATATCTTTACAGTAAGCATAGTCTCCATGCATGCAATCAAGAGCTCACTTTGTAAAATCTACCTTCAGTCCAAAATTCTACCTTCTAGTACACTTATGTGGCGCATCTAAACTATTGTACTTGCACTTTAAAAAAAATAAAAAATTCAACCCTTGTAAATCTGCTCTGATTCGGGAAGATCTTTTAGTGTTACAATTTCAAAAACTGAATACAGCATAATTTTAGAAGCCTTTATATTGATATCTAGATGCATATACTAAAACTACTTGCACCTATCAAATAATTTAGACCAAAGTTAATGACTTCAAGCCATAGGAGAAAAGTTCACTCACCTGGCAATAATGACTTGTAAGTTCATCTGACTTCTTCCATGTGTCAGTTACATCAAGTATATATATATTAACAGGAATGATGAAATTATTCCAATCAACCCACTTCACTGTATATCTCATGTATAGACCTCTCTTGGCACTCTTGAAGCCTTCTATCACCCTGCATTGTGTCTGATCATGGCAACATCTCAATCCTCCCATATAACCTGGCTTCAAAGGTCTACCATGTCCATCCTCTGTAACATTATAAAGATCACACCTGCATTCGGTGCATCCCAACCTATCTTCCACACCACGCGTATCAATCGCATGGACATTCATCAACCATTTGTCCTCATACCCAGCAGGAATTTCCGCTGGATTACCAACTTCTATTCCATAGGGATCTGGCACATGTGTGGCTGTTTTTCGTGTTTCAGATCCAAGGCCAAAATACTGGGTAGGACCACCACGATCACATAAACCAGCGTTCCTACCTATAATAAAATCAGATTGGTCGAATGACTCAAACCCTAGACTGTCATTGTACTTTGAAATTTTGACACTTTTATGCTGATAGTATCTCACAACAACCCAGTGGTGGAGATAAGTTTCGTGAAGGGGAACGGGATTTCCTGCCTCATCAACTACTTCAGCATTGAAACTCTTGATGGCAATATGACCTATTGGAAAGTCAATGTCATAGTAGAACTTGTTTACCACTGATCCTGGTTTCAGTACAAACTTAGGAGATAGAAAAACAGAAGATTTTACCCCATTTTCAATCCTTATAGGAGCTTGCGAAGTTTGAACACTTAACGCCAATAGGAGAATTAGTAAGAAAAGCAACCAGCCTCCAGAACAATGTGCCATATTTTCTGCGGATGTCAAAAATCTCTGGTTAGACAACAAAATATCTTCAACACAAATATAAGCTCTAAGGAGATGAAGACTGGAATAAATAAATACATAGAAATTTGCTTCCAAATGTCAATTTAAATTCGTAGAAGATGGCAAAATTTTGGGCCAGAAAAGATGATAATGCTATGAGAGCAGCCACTTCGCACAAAAAGTGCCAAAGGTAACACCCTTAGAGGGACCACAACGGATAGTGGCAACAACAACAACAACAACAACAAAAAGAGTAAAGCCCATTTCCTTGTAAACTAAGAAAATCTATAGGGATGGCTAAGACCTTAGAGCTGAGACCAAACCAAAAAAAGAATAAAAGAAAGCGAGATCCTTAAAGATTCAAATACTAGATTAAATGATGAGACTATGATACTGATAAACCTGAAGGAGGCAAAAGAAAATAAAAAAGCCCATTTCCTCATAAATCAAGCAAATCTATAGGGATGGCTAAAAGCTGAGACCAAACCAAAAAAGAAAACCAGAAAGGAAGATCCTTATAGATTCAAATACTAGATTAAATGAAGAGACTATGATACTGATAAACCTGAAGGAGGCAAAAAAAACACACACACATATTTCCTAGTAAACCAAGTAAATCTATAGGGATGGCAAAGACCTAAGAGCTAAGGCCAAACCAAAATAGAAAAAGAGAAAGGGGGATCCTTAAAGATTCAAATACTAAATTAAATGAAGAGACTATGATACTGATAAACCTGAAGTAGGCCAAAAAAAAAAAAAAAAAAACACAAATACTCACACACACATTTCCTAATAAACCAAGCAAATCTATAGGGATGGCTAAGACCTAAGAGATGAGGCCAAACCAAAATAGAAAAAGAGAAAGGGAGATCCTTAAAGATTGAAATACTAAATTAAATGAAGAGACTATGATATTGATAAACCTGAAGGAGATTTCCAACTAACAAGACCATCAACAAACAGGTAGTACATGTTAGACATACAGATAATTCACCCTTTTCAAAGAAATTAATTAACAAATGAAAAGAACCTTATAATGGGTTCTGCAATTCTGCTATAGCCAAATTTTAGAAAGCACATGAATTATTTGCAAAAACCCCCCCACAAAGCCAGAACCAAATTTTACAATAGATATATCATCTCCATTTCTAGTCCTCTAATTCAAGCAATTCAAATGTAAAGCAAGGACAGTCATTATGGGGCATTAGGGAATGTTCTCAAGTCCTAAGAAACAAAACATTCAAAAGAAAACAGAGACAAATTGAAATAATTATTGCATCACATGTTGATAGCTTGAACTGGGTAGAATAATCTGTCTTTTCTTTTTCTTTGGATTTAATGATTAAAAAAGCAGGAATTAGAGAGACAATAAGAATTCAAGAAACAGCACAAGTACATACCATACAATGGATGAAACCCAATAGAGTGATGATGATTCAGAGTTCTTAGGAAGAACCTGCAAATCCAAAAGAAAAGGGTCTGACCATATGCAAATCAAACAGTTTGAAGTGACTGTGTTTTGGTCTTTTGGATATAAATACGAACACGTGGTGGATATAGTCATGGTCTGCGTTGGCCGAGTGGTTTACACGGTTCCAACGATGATGGGCACTACCAACACGTGATATTATGATATGTGAATTGAGCGGAGTTGTAAAAAGAAGACTTTATGGAAAATTCCAAAAAATAATAATGAATAATAAACCATGGGTGTGAATGCTCTTTTATCGAGTTAGCATTTTTGGTATGAAAAATGCTCTTCTATCAAACTCTAATCGTTGAGGATGTCAGCCTCCTTTTGAACGCGAATCGACATATATATGTGTTCAGACCTAATCTGGGACCCACTGGCTTCTTAAAGCCTAATATAGGGTGATTTTTCCTCTGTATTGTCCAAACACATTGTTGTCACTTCTTATCTAACCCGATCCTTTTTGTATGGTAGTTTGCTATTTGTGTGGATACTATTCCAATTGAATTGGTTTGGGTGCATTTTAGATCTAAACCAATATTAATGGCTAAAAATTAAAATCAAACGGAATTATGAGGATTAATGGAATTGAACCAAATTGAATGTAAAAAGTCAAGCTTTGTAAGAAAACTAAAATGAATTTTTAGTTGAAAATTATTCTGTCATATGTGGTTTAATATTTTAATATGCATTTTTAGCAAAATATAAATATATCAATATATATTTATAATATTTCAGTTGGAAATTAATATATAATATTTTATTTATTATTCTTATATATATTCAGTTCTGGTTTGGTCCTCAACCAAAATTGAACTGTAAAATAATAATTTCATACTTTTGGAATCGAAACTGAACCTAATTGTAAAAAAAATAAGACCAAACCGACCACCAACCCGTTTGGTTTGGTCCAGTTCAGCTACCACCACAATTTTTCTTAAAATTTTGGTATAAAAAAGTAAAACTTAGTATATGTCGCTATATATATATATATATAATACAAATGTTTATAGAAATCGTGATAAAAATGTGGTAGCATTTATAATTTTTTATGTATATTAAAATTAAAATTATTTTATTTTTTTCATCATATTCTAATATTAAATCAAATTAAAAGAGTAATTAAATGAATTTAGGATTGTAGAAGAATTACCAGATATTTATAGATTTATATACTTATTCATTTAAATAACATATTTTTTTAGCAACGACGACTATCAAATTTTTTCTCAACTACTTTGGATCACCAATATGAACTATATGTTTCATGAATTTTGCTCTATTTAAGACTTTACAGTTGTGACCCTGACAAGTGAGTGTATGAATTCATGAAAAGTTTTAAGTGACCGGTACAATTTTTTAGTAACATCATGTAATTTGTTAGATGAGTCCATATCATGTTTGTATTGTAATTTTTCTCACAACATTGAAATAATATATATATATATTTGAAACTAAATCATGTGGAACAAAGTTGAATGACACAACACAATGTAATTTGTTTATTAAAAACGGGTGACACACCTTCAGTTATATAATCCAATTAAATTGACGTACTTGCAGTCAAGATTATTTTAAAATAAGAAATGTTTTGGTACTGTATCACTAATTGACATACTAACAAGTGGGAAGAGGCTCACTATCAAGAATTTTTTTGTTTGCCCACCTTGCACCGTGTAACAGGCGTACTTGAACCGTTCATGTATAACACACACTCACTCACACTCACTCATGTATTACACAATTAAATATAATGAACAATTAGATGTGTCTAGGAAGGAAAGGCCTTGAAGAGAGAGAATATAATTTAACAAAACATCTATTTTATTTCTCTTAATAATTTAAAGAAGAATTGAATTTGAACTGATTTCATAATAATACTTATTTCCTCACAAGTGAGACAAATCTTCTTCAAATGATTGATGTGACACAATGATAAATTAAATGACGCGTGCTCAATCATTTGGAATTTAAAATATGTATGAAAAAATAAAAAAATTTAACTTTTAACTTTTTCTCTCTTATATATATATAAAATTTAGAATTGCATTGAGATAGAACTTTAGAATACAATTTTATTTAACCCAAAGAGAATAACTTAATGACAAATACTCTCACAACGTCAGGAGTTTGGATCTCTTATAAAATTTTCTCCGTAATTACACGGTGCATGTGGGTCGATGAGATCTCATGTGTTGAGTGATAGATATAAAGCAAACTCCTCCTTCAAAGCCCGTCCAGGTTAGAAGTCCTACCCTTTAATAGGCCCATAACCAACCATCTAACCACTCAAAGCCCAATAATCTCGGCCTGAACGAACACTCATAGTTAGTGGGTTGCCCCACCCAGCCCGACCCACATGTTGTGCATGCTTAAATTATAGGGTAAATTGCACTTACACCTTATGAGATTTCAAAAATGTGCATTGTTGCGTGGCCCAGCCCGACCCACATGTTGTGCATGCTTAAACTATAGGGTAAATTGCACTTACACCCCCTGAGGTTTCAAAAATATGCATTGACACTCCCTCCAAACCTCTGAAAACATATAAAATTACTTTTTAATCCTTTGACTTTTCAACAACTCCATTAAAATCATAAAATTATAAGTTTAACCTTCTAACTAAATTTAATGGACCAAACTAACCTTTGCATCTCTTTTATATATATATATATATATATATATATATATATATATATTAAAGTAGTCAGATAACTGTACACCACCATAACCATCACCACTATACCCAAACACCACCATAACTACCATCACCACACCCAAACGCCACAGTAGAAAAAATAAAATAAAACAAAAATAAAAATAAAATAAAAATAAAAAATAAAAAATGGTTAAACCATACTTATACGTCCCAAATGCCACCAGAACCACCACCACAATAGAAAAAATAAAAAATTTGAAACACCCTGATAACATAGACACCATCATAACTATCACAACCAAAACCACACCCAAACAACACCACAACAACCACCAACAGAGTAGAAAAAAAAAATTTAAATACCCATGGCCAGCACATAACCACCACAAAAAAAAAAAAAAAAAAAAAAAAAAAAAAAAACCCACCACTATGTCTGAGAAAGGTACTTGGGGGTTGTTGCACTCCGAACCCAAAGTTTATGCAATGTGGCCAAGTTTTACATTTAGAAATTGTCACTACTAGCTTTCACTAAAAATATAGCTAAGGTGAGTAGAGATCGTCCCAAGAGATTGAGGGTCGCACTAAGCTGAGGAATCAAAATTAGGGTTAGTAGGTTGAGTGATCAAAATAGTGGTTGGTTGGTTGAATTAAACTAGATGCAAATTAAACTAAGTAAACAATAATGCAATAGAGAGAATAAAAGAGAGAGAGATCTTGGGATTTAGAGATTACCACTAAGCATAACTTTTCTACACCTTTAATGAATGATTAATGAGGGGAAGAACATGTATTGCAACAAAGTGTGTGTGTGTGGTTGTTTTAACAAGTATGGATGACAAATTAATCATATATTGTCTAAACAACATAGTGGATAACACAACATATCAAATTAAGCCATCAATCATTTCTTTAAGCTCACAATCCAAACACATCACAAGGTTAGAGATACATGTTACTTGCTTTCATAAGTATGGAACATCAACAACAAGCATGGATTGTCCTCCCATTTAACAACTACACTACAACTAAGCTAATGACATGAAATTAAGATAATTAAACTAAGGGAGAGGTACAATCCATCAAGAAATAAGTATGAACCATCAAATAAACCACAAGAACATGACATTAAGCACTATGTCTTGACAATCTCTAGATCTATAACATCAATACACATAGACATGCATCAATAACACAAGAAATAGAGACAAACACATGAACATCTATTCTAGCATACATAGACATATGGATATAATGAAATGATCAATTGAAAGCATTAAACCACATAAATCATTGAATAAATAAGATCTATATATATAAAAGTGTCAAGACATGAATCACAATACAAATCCCCTCAAAAATACATAAATCAGGAAGTAGAAAGCATGCTCAGGGTTAATTCTAGCCTCAAGAGGATGTCTAGCCACTCATGGATGATGTCTTCCAACCCTCAAGGGCAAGCTCCATGGAAGAAATCTGCTCCTTGATTGATGAAGAGTCTCCAATGATGTCTCTAGCCTCCTCCTCTTCTTTTCTTCCTCACTAAGTATATGTATCAAAGTATATCAAAAGGCTCTCTAGTGTATATGCTCAAAAAGTGGCTCATATTCCTTATATAGGTAGGTCAAAAATCACCCAAATGAGCTGGGCTCGTACACCAATAATTCTTTAATGATTGGATATGAGACAACTTTTAATGAGCTGGAATTTGAATTTTTCTCGAGATTTGGGAGGTTCGATCAATCGAACTTGAGGTACAATCGATCGAACATGGCTGAGATCTATCGAATTTAAGTTGGATCGATCCTCAATGGCGGCGCCTTTTTGGATAAAAACAAATCTGAGATATTTTGAAGATATTTTTAGGGAAAAGGACAAAATTGGTTGGTAGAGTGGTACAACTGGATAAGATCAATTATTTGGATAAGGATAAGAATGTTCGATCGATCGAACTTTCAGATTTTTGAATAGGAACAATCATGACTCAGATCCATCTTGAAGTGCTGAGATCAATGAAAGTTGGATCGATCGAACCTTTCTTGAGATCGATCGAAATTGCTGAAATTCCACCCTTTGCTTCCTTTTGCTTTACTTTACTCCTTTCTTTGATTCATCCCAGAATTGCTTCAATTATGCTCTTATTTGGCTGAGTTAGCTTATTTGGGGATAAGTACCTGAAAATGGAAATAACACGAAATCAATACAAAACGGTAAAATAAGATAGATAAATGTTCTAGAATACCTAAGCTTAAGGGGTTTAAATACACACTTTTCAGCGTTCATCACACCCCCAAACTTAAATATTGCTAGTCCCTAGCAATGAACTAGAAAGTAAATAAATGAAATGAATAACTATACAACTATGAACTAGAAAACAATAAATGGATAACGCCACTTTCGTAGGGAACACGATTGCATTTAACATATATAACAAGCCTTTTAAATCCCTATGTTACCCCTAGTGGACGAGTGAACTCCCGTGAGGGTTTCCAGAAATGATACCCACAAATATTAAGCTCATTCTTTCAAAAGAGGCACCAATATTACAAACAAGCATTGGGAGAAAACTACCTCAAGTATGCAATGTTTCAAACATTTCCAAGGAATCTCTCAAAATCTCAACACCAAGCAAGCAAGTATA